GGGGCACAAGATGAGGCAGGCATCAGTGATGACAAATGGTAGGGGTGGACAAGTGGTAGTGGGCAGGGTGTAGGAGCAAAAGGGGCAGAGGTCAAACTACTTGACCCAACTATCTGCCTGTCCTCCCACTGCCTGCCTCCCCACTTCCGCCTCACTGCCTGCCCTCCCACTGCCTGTCCCCAGTGCCTCCCCACTGCCTTTCTCCCTACTGGCCCCTACACCTCCTCACCACCTGCCCCTCTGCCACTGCTTTCCCAGCTGCAACAATGGTGGGGAAGACAAATTGAAGATAACTCTCCAATAATTAGATTCTATACATGGAAAATTATAACAAATTTAAATATTTTTCCATGAATAGAATCTAATTATGGGGGGGTCATCTTAATTTTAATGAATTCAGGGTCACCTTGGATTTGGATAAATACAGTATTAGTCCTCCCTGTCCAATATCTTGATTTAAGAATACATATACTACTAATTGTTCATAGCATTCTAATGGTCACAGCTGCTAAATTTGCGCTTGTAATTTTACACATATGAAGTTGAGGATATATTGTGCTGCAATATCAGGTGAAAAGAGAGATTTGTTTTTTGATTTTAGGACTATAGTCCCTCTTTCTTCAAAGCACAATGAAAAAGTGAAGGCTTTTTGGCAAATCACCATCTGGCATGAAAGGCTTTGTAGGGTGTAGACTTGGCTTGGGAACAGGCCTCAAAACCTTGGAGATCCACAGGATTCACATAGATGAATAGAGGAGCCACCCTGAAGGTATAATTTTGTAGAAGGTAAACCTTTTACTAGGAACCTATTGCAGGGTTTCTGCTGAATTTGTGTATCTCAAAATGAGGCACAGTTACACCTCTAGCAGCTGTGATATACCTCACTTCCCAGATGCACAACTCCAATAGTAGTTCTTCTATAGCTACCTAGCAGAAAGTTGCAAGATGAGGTAGAAGTGGTACCACAGAGATGTCATTTTCCACAATTCTCCCCATCTCCAAAAGAGCACAGAGTGCTGGTAAGTGCAGGTAAATTCTCTGAATTATAATGGGAAGGGGGGACACTTGAAAGGGAGGAAATAACTCTCATTTTTCTGCGTGATTAGCTAAAGTTCTATCCATTAAGTTCTCTTGGTTACATAAGCACAGAACAGATAAACGCTTGGATGTCATTCCCAGGTTAATAAGAACATAAAAACTGCCATTTATTAGGTCAGACCATAGGTCCATCTCGCCCAGTATCCTGTGTCACACAGTGCCAAACAGTGGATGCTAAAAGGGAGAGTAAACAGGAATTGGCCAGGATTTTTCCTCTGTTCCTCTCCCACTTGCAGCCTCCAGCATTTGGGCTAGGGACAGACATTCAAAAAGCCTAAGCCTGAATTGATTCAATCTTTGCAGGTTAGTCTAACCTGGCTAGGCTGAACTGGTTTGAAACCGGACAGACATTTTTTCTGAACTGAGGAAATTCAGGCACATGCCTGCAGTAGCTCAGGCTAGAAGCTGGGGGGTGGGAGGGGAGCACTAGAGCAGCCCTCCCTTCCCTTCTGCAAGGAGCTGAGCTGAGAGGGCATGGCCAAGCTGGCAGGACTCTCATTAGGGAGGTCTGCCTGCATGGTCCCAGGCTTTTCCCCGCTCATTGCCAGCCCCAGGCTAGCACTCTGAGGCAAGGAGGGTGCACAGTGCATGCATCTGTTGATGATATGGAGCTTTTCAAGCTCCTTCCCTGTTTTGTCATACTGTCTGCAGCAAACTGACAGGCTAGCAAGCCAGCTGAGGGCTGATAGTGGTAATAGTCATTATCACCCAATTAGCAAAACAATGACCTCTCTCCATTACTTCAAACTTCATAAACAGTTTACTGGTTGACCTGTTGATTAGCTCTAAACAGCCCGAAGCAGTCACTGTTCTGTCTGCCTGTCCTAGTGAAATTGGAGAGAGACACACACAGACACCTCTTGGCATTAGCTACCATACCACATGCCTAGCATCCATGGGGCAGGGGTCCCTTCTGTGGGAGACGGGAGGAGGGGGCAGGATTTCCTGCTTGAGCAGTGAGGGGGAGGGAAGGGCAGGGGGAAGCCAGACAGACTACTGTGTCTGCAGTCTCTGCTGGAGTCTTATACAGCATTAGCTAGCATACCACATGCTGGCTATGGTCCGTGCTGTGGCAGAGAGGAGGAAGGGATCCCTGCTTAAGCAGTGAGTGGTAAGGGGGAGGGGGGTCACAGGGAAGCCTGCTGTGCCTGCAAGACCGCCAGAGCTCTGGCCAGGGAGCAGAGGGGAGGGGTCAGCCCTACTGTAGAGCAGAGAGCCCTGCCCAACCCAGAGAGCATGCCAGGATGCTGGGGGAACTCTGATTTAACTTAAACCAGCAAGGGGTCTGGGACAGAAATTGCATAAAACAGTTTGACCCAAATGAGTTAAGTCTAATACTACATTCAACCAGGTTTATCTCAAACCGGTTGCAGCCATTTTAAAACTGGTTTATATGCACTGAACATCTGCTCCATTACAAGTTTAAGCCAGTTTCTGATCACTTAAACCAGTTTATGTGTAATGTCTGTCCCTAGCCTTAAGGTTTAGGACGTTCTGATTCAGAGACTATATCTCTAACTCTCATGGTCAACAGCTACTGATGCATTTTTCCTCAAAGCATTTGTCCAATCTTTTTTGAATCTGGCTAAACTAGCAGTTTCCACATCTTGTGGCACTTTAACTATATGCTGTGTGGAAAAGAACCTCCTTTTGTTAGTTTTAAACTATCTACTAGTTTTATTTTGTAACCCCTAATTCTTGTATTGTGTGAGAGAGTAAATAATAAATCCCTATTTACTTTTTCTTCACCATTTAGTATTTTCTAAAAGCTTATCATGTCCCCCTAAAGCATCTCTTTTCTGAACTGAATAGGCCTAGCTCTTTTGTCTCTCCTTATATGAAAGCCCCGCCATGCCACTAATCATCCTTGTTGTTCATCTCTGTACCTTCTCTCCTTCCAAACCTACTGTGCAGTGCCAATGAGTTCTTCTATCTCCGTTCAGAGATGTGGGAACCAAAACTGGGCATAGTACTCCAGGTGTGGATGCACCATGGATTTATTAAGGGGCATGATGATACTTTATGTTTTATTTACAGTTCCTTTCTTAATAATTCCTAACATATTGTTTGCCTTTTTGATACATGCTGAGCACTGAGCTGATGTTTTTAGTGTACTGTCCACAATGACTCTCAGACCTCTTTCCTGTGTGGTAACAGCTAATGCAGAGTACATTATAGTGTAGGTGTAACTTGGGTTATTTTTCCCATGTGCATCACTTTACTTTTGTCTACATTGAATTTCATCTGCCATTTAGTTGCCCATTTGCAAAAGATCCTTCTGTAATTCCTTACAGTCCACCTTGCTCTTTACTACTTTGACTAATTTTGTGCCATGTCCATATCTGACCACCTTGCTACTCACCCCCTTTTCCAGATCATTTATGAATATGTTAAACAGCACTGGTCCCAACATAGATCCCTGGAGGACCCTGCTACTTACTTATTTCCATCCTAAAAACTGATCATTTATGCTCACTCTTTGTTTTCTATCTTTAAGACAATTTCTAATCCATAAATGGGCCTTACCTATAACCTCATGACTACCTAACTTTGTTAAGAGCCTCTCCTTGTCAAAGGCTTTTTTGCAAGTCCATACATACATGTCAGCTGGATCACCCTGATCCATCTGCTTACTGATACCCTCAATAACCTCAAAGAACTCTAGTTGGTCAGTGAGGTATGATTTCCCTTTGGCAAAACCATGCTGATTCCTCCCCTAGCAAGTCAGGTTCATCCGTGTGCTGAACAATATTTTTAATGATTATTTCTACTAGTTTTCCCAGAACAGAAGTTAGATTTACTAGTCTGTAGTTCCCTTAGAGCCCTTTTAAAATATGGGAGTCATGCTGGCAATCCTGCAGTCCTCTGGTAGCAAGGCTGTTTTTGCTGATAGGTTGCATACTACAGTTGGAGTTGAGCAATTTCTGATCTGAGCTCCTTCAGGACTCTAGGGTGAATGCCATAAGATCCTGGTGATTTGCTACTGTTTAGTTTATTAATTTCCTCCACAACCTCATCTACTAAAAATGCAATTTGGGTCAGCTCCACTGACTCATCCCTATAAAAGAATGGATCTAGTGAGGGAGTCTCCCTAGTATCTTCCACAGTGAAGACAAATTCAAAAAATGCATTTAGTTTCTCAGCAATGGTCCTGTCATCTTTTGGCACCCCTTTGACACTGATTATCCAAAGGCCTAAGTGACTCCCTGACAGGTCTTTGGCTTTTAATGTACTTGAAGATTTTTTTAAGGGTTTACCCTTAATTTGTTTATTAATTTTGAGATTATGTGAGGCCTGTGATTTTATCTGACCACAATTTTGGTGGGTTTAGTAGAAGACTCATGCTATGCGGATCTGTCGTACACTGCTTCATATGCACTCTTACCAGCAACAGATTTTGAGTGGGATCAGATACAGCAAAGTAATTCAAGAGTAGGTGTACTAAATCACTGAGAAATCTCTGTGTAATGGGGTTAATGATCCTGGAGACATACACGGTAAGTTCTCAGGTTAAACACAAATGATATTAGTTTTACAAAACAAGTAAAGCTTCTTTTTAAAACTCACTCTTATGGTGAAATTTATTCCTTTTTCCAAGTACTGCACAGGTGCCAGCATGTTCCTTAGATTTATGACTTCTGACATTTGTTTATCAACAGGTGGTTGCACATCTTGCCATTTATATTTTAAGCAACAGTAAACACAACTAAAAATAAGATAAGATAAACAAACTCAGTGTTTTTTAAATGATTTTTGCATTAAAGCTGCACTTATAAGCTAGGTCTTCAAGTAGTTCACACCAGGCCCTGTAACACAGAAGAATACTGCAAGAGCAATAAGGATTTTTAGGGGCATTATGATAGTGTAATGGAAACACAACTGCCCCCAAAAGTCCCTCATTTTCCCTGCGGTAAAGAGCCATGCAGGAAGTGATGAATGCTGGAACATCAAGAGTGAAACTAAAAGGAAAAATATTAGAAGTTAAAACAAACACTTGTTCAAGACCAGTTCAGGCTTTTATACCGTGCTGTTAAGCCACTTTGCAGAACAGTAATATGGAAAGCTGTCAAATTTGCCAATTTTTTCTTCATATTCTGGATGCATTCAAAAGTTCTGCTTCTCAGTCAAGTACCACCTAATACTAAGTAACATGGAGATGAAAGCATGTCTTATGGAAAGTGAAGACAATCCAAGAATATTCTTGGCTATTATTTTTCTTACAAAAATGATACAAAAGAGAACAGTTTTGTTAACATCTGATCAGTTAGCCTAATAGTTAAGCACTAACTTTAAACAACTCATGATAGTGGAACAGAGTTTTTAAAGAATGCAGGAGCAAATAAATCCTGTAACAGCTTTTATCCAAAAAGATTGCAAAGTGGTTTTACAAATTACAGTACATGTTTATCTCCACACATGAAAGACTACAGTAATGGAGCACAAATAACAGGAGAAATTCTAATGCTAAAATACCTAATCTACCTACATGTTAATAGAATTCATTAGTAAATCAGATAACATTCTTAACACTCAGTGAAATGGATGGATCAAATACAAAGGTAAAATGATTAAATAATCCTTTATTATGTATCAGTCATATTATTCCCTGGGTTATGTGTAGTAGTATATAAAGTATAATTATTTTGTTGAGTATGATGATTATCAAATCCTTCATTTATTACTCAGCATAGGCCTATGTCTGGTACTTTTGTTCTTTATTTCTATTGAAAAACAAATTATGATACAGAATGTGAAGCCACTTCTGTTCTCAGATCAACTTATTGTGATCTCACAGTTCATATGATCTCACATAAATCTAATATTGATTCAACTCCATTGATTTCAGGGGTGTTATTGCTGAATTATACTATTGTAAATGTATAACTCCAGTTATCACACAACAGAAGACGACGTAAGAATAATATGGTAAAGGTTTTGAATAGAGTTTAGTAATTAAAGAAAGAGGGCTATTTCATAAAATTTGATAACAACAATCACTGCTCCCCCATGTTATGTGCATTTTACAAGAAATGTAGCTAATGCTAACAATAACAAGTACATATAAAATGTGTCACCAATAAAACTAACACCTGCAATATTTCTTTTCCCCAGTTTCACCCTTATAAGCTAACCCTGGAACATGCTAAAGAAACTCACTCCCCTCCCCCCCCGCCCTCCTCCCAGTGAAGCCCACTTATATCTGAGCTGTCAGAAATGATAGTTTTTCTTTTGTATGTCTCCTGCCTGGCATACAAAATGGAAGTAAAAATATTACCTGCAAAACACAATTGCATAGCTCTTTTTTTATACCAATATACTGAATGCATGCAAGGAATTCAGGTCTCCTGACCCCAGTGAGATAGAAGCTTGAAGATGACTGACTTAACAGAGGCTTAATTGCATAAATATTACATTACACTGGCAAACTGTAACCTCTACTCTCCCCTTCCCTGCTGATAATCGAATTCAAATATTACACCAGCACTAAATGAAAGGCTGAAAATAGCTTTAACATAACTAATATTTATGATGTAAGTATTCAAATTATAAGGCAAACGTTTAGGACTGTTACAAGATTGCTAATGGTTCTTTTGATCTCACTAGATCTATTTCAAGCAGGAAAAAAAGAAACAAAACTTTTTAGGACAGTAGAGCTCATCTCTGAGGGTGGTACCATTCTTTCTGAATCCTGTCTGATGACCAAAATGGTCATCAGACTTGAAAGCATTTTTTAAATAGTTTTTTAACCTGATTATACTGCAGGGACTCAGAAATCACCAGTAACCTTCTCAAACGCCACCAATTCCTGACATATAGTCATATTTGGCAGGCTCACAAAACAGAAATCACCTAAATAACAGAAGATGGGTTTTTACTTCTGTTATCTGCCTCACTACACACTGCAGGAATGTCTGGAAAAAACCCCCACAATGCTGAACAACCCAAAGGCGCACACACACGGCTCACCTACATAAACACTGTCCTTGCACTGAAACCTTAGTAAGCAGAAACTAGCCAGGCATTCTGGCAACGGACAAAAAAAGCTGATTCTTTGTCTCTCTTGTTGCCATGCTTGGCCTTTACCACAGTCCCTATTTGCTTTATTTGATTGAGAAAGGCATATGACACTGCACCGGACAAGAGGTTTGCATAATCATTAACTGACCTGTACTCTGCAAAGGACAAATAATGCCTTAAATAAGACTGGGAGCTTCATATCCCCAGGCTGCACAGGCTGAAATGGACTTGTTTGTCTGCCCAATACAACTTCTTTTCTGCAGCTTATTCCACTGTAAGGGCAAATTCCAGGTCCATACCAGTTTTTGTCAGTCCACGTGGGGTGCTGTAAACTCTTCAACAAACTTTACGGACAACATCTCTGCTAACAACGAAGCAGATATGCCTGTTTAAAGGCACTGTGAAATTGTTTATCTTTGAAACAACGTGTTCTGCACACATTTCCATACGTTCATAAACATTTCCATATACCCGTTTGGATGTCTGAGGTCCAAATTCTGCGCAGGAGAGCAATGCCCATTAATTCTGTGCAGGGGCGGAGTGCCCACTGAGGTACCTGAGTTTAATCACATGAGTATGACAAGCAGATTTTGACCATTTTCCTTCCCTGGGATAAAATTGTGGATGCTTTCATAAAAACTTGAGCCTGAGTTTGCAGCCTTTACTTGCAAACCTGCTAGCTAGTCCAGCGCAGGTTTTCAAAGGATCACAGCCTCCTCCCCTTTCTCTATGACTACATTAGAGAGGATCCAGAAAACCTTTGTGTTGTAATGTGGGGTCACGGGACGTGAAAGGCTGAGGACCACTTCTTCAGAAGATTGAAGGTGCAAAATACTTCTCAGGTTCAGGCCTTATGATAGAAAAAAAGTCATACCATTGCTTTGTGGTGGGGATCCTGGGCCTGAATCTGTTTCCGCTGATTTCAATAGGAATTCACCCACTGACTTCAACAGCATCCAGTTGGGCCCTTTGCTAGACCTTTCACAGTTTCTCTTGCTCTTAAATTTCCTTGGAAAGCACTCAAACCTGACATTCAAAAATCGAAGGTAGTTTTTAACTGTATTAAAAAAGTATACGAGGTAGGTTTTCCAAAATTATAAATGAAAAAGTAAAAATCAAAATAGCTTTGATTTAAAAAAAAAATGTTTGACTGAAAATAATTATTTTCTTCATTAAGTATATTTTCTCATTTTAAACAGGAAAATAAATAAACTGTCTCTGATCTTTAATTAATACAAGTATTATATACAGAATACATTCTAAGATATTTAAAATTAAGGCTGACCTCTCATATTTTAATTATGGCTTGTAGGAAAAAAGGCATCTAAATATATATATTAGGAATGACCCTACCCATGTAATTTTTATTACAAGCATTTATCAGGAATCCATGACTATACCATCTGGTCATCATTGGTCTGGATTACAAATTTAATATTAACGTAGAGTTTGGGGGAACATATTTAAGGGTGACATCTGAGTTTAGCATTGGTTTAATTGGTTGTAAACATAAAGAAAAAAAATACATGAATAATAGTTTTAATGAGGAAAACCTGCGAGACTAAATTCATATTATTCATATGTGCTTATTTAAAAAATAAACATATTAAATGGTCTGATTTAACCTAATGCTACTAGAAAGATTACACATATATTATGTGTATGGTTAATGAGGAACTAAATAAAATCCAATTTGAAAAACGTTATCTCAAGAATAGCTGCTTAACCAAATGTGATGCATAAGAATGGACATATTACATAATTTAGTATTAAAAACTATATATGTGACATTTCAGAGCATTCAAATGTTGGGTTTCATTTTCTAAAGAGAAATTACTGCTAACTTTTAGCAGAAAAGGGTTGGTTTTTGGAGTGGCCCTGTACTGTTTATTCCTGTTTTCCACTTTATAAGAGCAAGATCTTTCACTAGACCAACACTCACAACACCCACAACACTCTACTCCTTGGTTTTCAGAACAGTACTCAAGGAACAATGGGAATAAAGTTACTGTATTTGTTTGCATAAATGCTGTACTGCCCCCCGCCCCCAAAAAATTACCACCATAAATTAGGGTGTGGTCATTATATGACCCTAGACCAAGGCGGAAAGAATATCAGCAGTAAACAGAAGTTATAATACAGGGTGCGTCCAGACAAGTACAGACATTTGTTTCTCTGGCGACAAGTGGCAGTGACACACCTTGTGCCACTGCTACTTATCCCCAGGAAATGCCTGGGGCACGCACGCACGCTCTGGCACGTGGCAGGTTACCCCAGGTTGGGTAGGGGAGGCTGGGGCCAGTAACTGTGATGGCCCCAACAGCCTTACCTGGGGTCCTTACAGCCTCAGGGCTGCTACTGTGGCAGGAAACCTGGCCAGCAGCCGGAGTATGGCTCCAGCCAGTCAGGCTCTGGCTTTGGGTAGCGTGCGCTGCCGCCACGTGTGCTGCCCTGCATTTTTTCAGCGTGGGCTTTTTTGACTCTGGCATATCCTAGGGTCAAAAAGGCTCCCTGCGCTGCAAGATAGTAGTGCGAGAAACACCTGTATATGCGGTGTGCAGAGCCGCAGACAAGTCTGCAGTGCTACATACCGCATGTCCACACTTGTCTGGATGCAGCCACGGTGTTCAAACATTCATTCTTACTTCTCATCTTTCTTGATCTTACAGACAAGACTGAATGTGGAGC